AAGCTTTCGTGACTGCAGGGATTCATATTATTGGTGCTTTCGGTAAAGTCACCACCACGTAGAAGGGAAACAATAAAATAATACAAATATAAAACAAAAAAATTCTCACCATTTTATATTTTTATTATTTTATTGTTTCCCTTCTACGTGGCTTTACCGAAAGAACCAAGAATATGACACCCCATAGTCAAGGCAAAGATCCCCCGTGTAGCCTCAACGGACTGCAGGGGCAAGTGCTGTTAGCGAGCAGCACCTGTGAAGGCTACCGGCACTGTGGCACACGAGGGGGTGGGCGGCCAGCAACCACGCCCGGCCGCCTTTGTCTCTCCCCAGTGGCGATGTTTACTACTGCTACGACGACACACCGCACCGGCGAACTCGTTTGAGGCCGAGCCGACCTAGGGGAGGAGGCTCAGGACCGGTTCAGATCATCGTCACACCGGGGAGTTGGTGGCCCCGAGCGGGGATCGAACCCCGGCTCCCCAGGTTCGTAGCGCGGCGTAGCGCCAACCACTACCACCACTACCACCACCGATCATCATCACCACCACCATCACCACCACCAATCATCATCATCACCACCACCACCACAACCACCGATCATCACAACCACCACCGCTCTCCATTCCCGATCATCGTCACCACCACCACCACAACCACCGATCATCATCACCACCACAACCACCACCGCTCCCCCTTCCCAATCATCACCACCACCACCACAACCACCGATCATCACCACCACCACTGCTCCCCATTCCCGATCATCATCATCACCACAACCACCACCGCTCCCCCTTCCTAATCATCACCACCACCACCACAACGACCGATCATCACCACCACCACTGCTCCCCATTCCCGATCATCACCACAACCACCAACCCCATCCACTTCCGGCCGTCACCCCACGATCACGCTGCGGGGGGGAGGAGGAGGGGGGGGGGCGTCTCTGAGTCCGACGGTTCGCGCCCCCCACCCCTCCTCCCTCTCTCGCCCCACCACCACCCCACCGCACGTCGTCGACGTCGTCGTCGTCTGAACGGCTGTCGCGTGCCCGGAGGCCGACGTCACGGCCCCCGGAGGCCGACGTCACGGCCCCCGGAGGCCGACGTCACGGCCCCCGGAGGCCGACGTCACGGCCCCCGGAGGCCGACGTCACGGCCCCCGGAGGCCGACGTCACGGCCCCCGGAGGCCGACGTCACGGCCCCCGGAGGCCGACGTCACGGCCCCGGAGGCCGACGTCACAGCCGTGCGCGTGCGTGCTCACGCGTGCGTGCGTCTCGACTGTCTGGCGCAGCGGTGGTAGCCGCCAGCGGCTCGCCGTCGGTTCGGGGGTGGGAGGTGGGCAGGACGACCAAAACCGACACGAGCAGCAGTGACGACGATGATGACGACGACGATGACGACGATGACGACGACGATCAGTTTTAAGGAAATGCATTTTTTCGATCGAGATCGTTTCAAAGAGCCACGCTCATTTCTTTAAAACAGTTGCGGGAGGGGAGGGGGGTGGGGTGGTGGGGGAGGCTGCACGCCCACGTTTTTATTCCTTTCATTGTGTGGGTTCGTGCGCCAAGGCTGTGTTCGTCGGGAGAGGCCCTCCACCACCCGACGGAGAGCGGCCGGGTGCCAATTGTCGCGTGCGGCGCTCCGATGGCTGCGATCGTTCTCGGATCAGCTCACCCGGCGAGTCGGAGATTCTCACACACCCCACGCGGCCACTCGCTCATCCACTCGCTCACCTACTCATCCACTCGCTCACCTACTCATCCACTCGCTCACCTACTCATCCACTCGCTCACCTACTCATCCACTCGCTCACCTACTCATCCACTCGCTCACCTACTCATCCACTCGCTCACCTACTCATCCACTCGCTCACCTACTCATCCACTCGCTCACCTACTCATCCACTCGCTCACCTACTCATCCACTCGCTCACCTACTCATCCACTCGCTCACCTACTCATCCACTCGCTCACCTACTCATCCACTCGCTCACCTACTCATCCACTCGCTCACCTACTCATCCACTCGCTCACCTACTCATCCACTCGCTCACCTACTCATCCACTCGCTCACCTACTCATACACTCGCTCACCTACTCATACACTCGCTCACCTACTCATCCACTCGCTCACTCGCTCACCTACTCATCCACTCGCTCACCTACTCATCCACTCGCTCACCTACTCATCCACTCACACAATCACTCATCCACTCGCTCACCTACTCATCCACTCGCTCACCTACTCATCCACTCGCTCACCTACTCATCCACTCGCTCACCTACTCATCCACTCGCTCACCTACTCATCCACTCGCTCACCTACTCATCCACTCGCTCACCTACTCACACAATCACTCATCCACTCGCTCACCTACTCGTCCACTCGCTCACACACTAACTCATCCACTCACACACTCGCCCACACACACACAACCAATCACTCAACTACTCGCTCACCCGCTCACACAATCACTAACCTACCCACTCATCGACTCACAAACCCGCTCACTCATTCCCTCACTCACTCGCTCGCTCATCGACTCACACACTAGCTCACTCTCTCGCGCGCTCGCCACACTCACTCGCACAATCACAAACTCACCCATTAATCCGCTCGTCCACTCACTCATTCACTCAGCCAAACACTCAACCCACCCACTCTCTCACCCCCCCCCCCCCCAATCACTCGCCCTGTGAGTGAAGACAGCAACCCTCACAGCCAGGTTCAGCAGCAGAGACCTGGCGCGCTTCGCTCGAAACAAGGTCCATCGCTCCACCGCGGCGGGTAGGAGATGTTAACTACCTCGCCAGACATACAGGAGGTCGCGGGTTCGATCCCGGCACCTCTAAGAATTGGAGTTGCGGTCCCTCCACCACATTGAGAATCAACATCAGTGCGAGTTTAGAGCATTTGGCGATGGCCATACATTTCCACATGATGATGATGATGCTGTTAAGCCACACCGTTGATCTATCATTTGTGATGGATAGCTGAGTGGGGCTTTATCAGTTGCAAAAATGAAAATATGTCGCGGAAATAGCGAAGAATCGGCAGGGCACGGGGGTCAAGTAAAAGTTAGCGCCAACATCCAGGAAGCGAGTCAGTCAGCTGACCCAGGGCGAAACGCTTGAAATGGAATCGGTGCTAATCCTGGCTGCGAGAATCATCCTCCACCACCTCCACCACCACCTCCACCACCTCCACCACCACCTCCTCCACCTCCTCCTCCACCTCCTCCACCACCTCCACCACCTCCACCACGTCCTCCACCTCCTCCACCACCTCCTACTACCACCTCCACCATCATCCACTACCACCTCCACCATCATCATCCACTACCACCTCCACCACCATCATCCACTACCACCTCACCACCATCATCCACTACCACCTTCACCATCATCATCCACTACCACCTCCACCATCATCCACTACCACCTCCACCACCATCAACTACTACCTCCAACACCATCATCCACTACCACCTCCACCACCTCCTCCACCACCACATTCTCCACCTCCAAAACCATCACCTCCTTCTCCACCAGCTCCTCCACCATCCCCACCACCTCCACCACCACCTCCTCCACCACCACCTCCTCCACCACCTCCTCCATCACCTCATCCACTACCACCTCATCCACCACCTCCTCCATTACCTCCTCCTCCACCACCTCATCCACTACCACCTCATCCACCACCTCCTCCTCCATCACCTCATCCACTACCACCTCATCCACTACCACCTCATCCACCTCCTCCACCATCCCCACCACCTCCTCCACCACCACATTCTCCACCACCTCCTCATCCACCACCTCCTCCACCATCACCGCCACCACATTCTCCACCACCTCCTCCTCCACCATCACCTCCTCCACCATCACCGCCACCACCACCACCACCACCACCTCCTCCTCCCTCCACGGTGAGAGTCGAGGCCATGCGACGAACTGCACAGCGCCAGCGTTTACCGCGCGTTTCGCTCCGCCCGGCCTCGTCCGTGCGTCCGTGCGTGGACCCTCCCTCGCGGCGCACGAACCCGGCCGCGTGGGGAGGGACAAGCGACGGGCCACAAAGGGCACCCCCACCCCCCCCACCACCCCCACCCCCACCACAACGTCGCCCCCCCCCCCACCGGTGCCACCGCCGCCAACTCTCTCCGTTACGTCGAGGGCACTTGGCACACCACAGCCCCCTTCCCCACATCCCCAGACTGACATTTGCCAACCCACCTCGCCCGCCCCACAGCCATCGAGCCTTCACGCGGGGGGGGGGGGGGGGGGGGGAGTCACGCACGCCGCACTAAAGGTTCGGGCGGACAGGTTTGAATCCAGGTAACAAGGTGGACCGGTAGCCATCACCGCCACCGCCACCACATCATAATCATCAACATCATCAGCATCATCATCATCACCATCATCATCCCATGGAAACCCAACACATCAGCGTAGATTCCCCCGTCCCCTTAATAATAGTTTTTTTTTTTTCCACTGACTCAGAGACACCGTTAATTCATGAACGTTTTTTTTTTTGCATCTAGGGAATCTATTATGTATGTTCTAGCTAACCTTGGTAAAAAGCTATTTTATTTTTTTTTAAAGTTTTTTGTGTTTTTCTTTTTCCGTTGACTTCTCTCTCGCTCGCTCGCTCTCGCTCGCTCTCTCTCGGTTCGTTAAATTTTCTTTGTTGTTGCCGTCGTCGTTTAAATCTTAAGAGCATTTATCGTCTTTATATATTTATGTATAATATGTATAACGCCTACATCTAATACAGAGGAAATATCTGACTTATGTACAAATGTCTACAGGAAAACGCGGCGGTTTGGCGCGCCACCTCGGTTTAAATTTTGTTCCCCTCCCACCTGGCCCCGGCCCCCCACCCCCCGTACCCCTTGTGGGGGGGGGCCCTCCCCCCTCCCCATCGGTCGTGCATCTGGATCCACGACTCCCCCCCCCCCACGACCCCCTCCCCCCCCCCCACCCCCACCCCCCCACCTCCGCCCGGCCACTCGTCGCCTTTTTTTTTGGCATTCGCACGACGACAACAAAATGGCGTCCGCAGGAAGTGGCGGCAGGAAGTGGCGGCAGGAAGTGACGTCGACGGCACCTCCGTGGCGGCAGGAAGTGACGTCACAAGGAGGGAGGGGGGCGGGGCATGGGGTGGGGAGGGCGGGGGGGGGCAGAGAAGTGGGGGGGGGGGGATGGGTTAGTGGGCGAAGGTTTTGTGCCGTTCGGGCGGGAAGCGACGTCGTCATCGTCCAGACAGGAAGTGATGTCGCCGGTCCGGACAGGAAGTGATGTCGCGGGGTGGGGGAGCCGGGGGTGGGGATGGTGCGGAATTCCCGAGCGGAGCGGATTCTCCGTCCCTTTTTTGGCGGCGAAGGAGGCGACGTCCAACACGCCGGCCGCGGCAAGCGACATGGCGGCGGCCGGAGCCGCTCCACGAGAAGCGACACGTCACAGCCGCTCGCACACTCCCCCCGCACGGGAAGCGACATCCGAGCCGCCCAACGCCGCCATCACCCGCCACCCCGCCCCGTTCCTTTCCTGCACAGGAAGTGACGTCACGGCCGCCACCCCTCCTGCACAGGAAGTGACGTCAGAGCGGCTCGCTGTCCTCGGGGGAGGGGCCACGGCGGTGCGGCGGGGAGGCGGGGGCCCCCGGGCCGTGCGTGGGGGCCCCCGCGTCCGCGGCGCTGGGCCACGCGCCGGGGCCCGGCGCGTGGCCCAGCGCCGCCACGGTCACCACGGCGTGAAGCAGCGCCAGCACCAGGGCGCAGAGCCGCAGGCGGCTGGAGCAGCAGGGGCGGCGCGCCCGCGACGAGGACGAGGAGGAGGAGGAGGTGGGGGAGGATGCTGAGGATGCTGAGGAGGTGGGGGAGGATGACGACGAAGAGACATCCTCCTCCTCCGACGCCCCCGTCGCCGCTTGCCCCCGCCGCCGCTGCTGCTGTTGCTGCTGCTGCCCCTGGGTGGGCGTGGCGGGGGCGGGGCCGGAGTCCGGCCACCAATCGCAGCAGAGCGGCTCGTGGGTCGACGAAGTGGGGCTGCCCCGCCCGGGGAAATCTTGGGAGGGGGAAGTCGGGGGGGGGCGGTGCAGCGGAGTGAACTTGTGTGTGCCTGTGTGCGTGCGTAGGTGTGTGTGTGTGCGTAGGTGTGTACGCACGTGTACGTACGTACGCGTGCGTGTATGCGTGTGCGTACGTGTGTGCGCACGTGTGCTTGTGTGGGTACGTGTGTGTGTACGCGTGCGCGTGTACGTACATGCGTGTACGTGTGTGTGCGCGTGTAAGTGTGTGCGCGTGTGTGGGGAGCGGTGGCATTGCGGTTTGCACGCTGCGCCACAAACCAGGCCAAACCGAGCTCAATTCCCACTCACGGGTAGCACAAGAACACTCGCTCACTCACTCACTAACTCTCCACGCTCGCTCACGCTCACTAACACTCACTAACACTCCACACTCACTCACGCTCACTCACACTCACTAACACTCCACACTCACTCACGCTCACTCGCACTCACTAACACTCCACGCTCACTCACACTCACTCACACTCACTAACACTCCACGCTCGCTCACGCTCACTCACACTCACTAACACTCCACACTCACTCACGCTCACTCACTCACTAACACTCCACGCTCGCTCATGCTCACTCACACTCACTAACACTCCACACTCACTCACGCTCACTCACTCACTCACTAACACTCCACGCTCGCTCACGCTCACTCGCTCACTCACTAACACTCCACGCTCGCTCACGCTCACTCACTCACTCGCTAACACTCCACGCTCGCTCACGCTCACTCACTCACTCACTAACACTCCACGCTCGCTCACGCTCACTCACTCACTCGCTAACACTCCACGCTCGCTCACGCTCACTCACTCACTCACTAACACTCCACGCTCGCTCACGCTCACTCACTCACTCACTAACACTTCACACTCGCTCACTCGCACTCACTCACTCACTAACACTCCACGCTCACTCACTGTCACTCACTCACTAACACTCCACACTCACTCACGCTCACTCACTCACTCACTAACACTCTACGCTCGCTCACGCTCACTCACTCACTCACTAACACTTCACACTCGCTCACTCGCACTCACTCACTCACTAACACTCCACGCTCACTCACTGTCACTCACTCACTAACACTCCACACTCGCTCACTCGCTCACGCTCACTCACTAACACTCCACACTCACTCACTGTCACTCACTCACTAACACTCCACGCTCACTCACTCACTAACACTCCACACTCCCTCACTGTCACTCGCTAACACTCCACACTCACTCACTCACTAACACTCCACACTCACTCACTAACACTCCACGCTCACTCACTCACTCACTAACACTCCACGCTCACTCACTCACGTGCTAACACTCCACACTCACTCACTGTCACTCGCTAACACTCCACACTCACTCACTGTCACTCGCTAACACTCCACACTCACTCACTGTCACTCACTCGCTAACACTCCACACTCACTCACACTCCACGCTCACTCACTCACGCACTAACACTCCACACTCACTCACTCACACTCACTCACTCACTCGCTAACACTCCACGCTCACTCACTCATTAACACTCCACACTCACTCACTCACTAACTAACACTCCACACTCGCTCACTGTCACTCACTAACACTCCACACTCACTCACACTCGCTCACACTCCAAACTCACTCACACTCGCTCACACTCCAAACTCACTCACTCACTAACACTCCACACTCCCTAACACTCCACATTCACTCACTCACACTCCACACTCACTCACACTCGCCCACACTCCACACTCACTCACACTCGCCCACACTCCACACTCACTCACACTCGCCCACACTCGCCCCCGCCCACACTCACTCACTCACACTCGCTCACACTCCACACTCGCCCACACTCGCCCACACTCACTCACACTCGCTAAAACTCCACACTCACTCACTCACACTCGCTCACACTCCCTCACACTCGCTCACACTCCACACTCGCTCACACTCGCTCACACTCCACAGTCGCCCATACTCGCCCACACTTACTAACACTCCACACTCACTCACTCACTCAATCACACTCACTCACACTCCACACACGCCCACACTCGCTCGCCCACACTCGCCCACACTCCACACTTGCCCACACTCCACACTCGCCCACACTCGCTCACACTCCACACTCGCCCACACTCGCCCGCCCACACTCGCCCGCCCACACTCGCCCACACTCACTCACACTCGCTAACACTCCACACTCACTCACTAACACTCCACACTCACTAACACTCCACACTCACTAACACTCCACACTCATTCACTCACTCGCCCACACTCGCTAACACTCCACACTCACTCACTCACACTCGCCCACACTCGCCCACACTCCACATTCACTCACTCACACTCGCTCACACTCCACACTCGCCCACACTCGCCCACACTCGCTCACACTCCACACTCACTCACTAACACTCCACACTCACTAACACTCCACACTCACTAACACTCCACACTCACTAACACTCCACACTCATTCACTCACTCGCCCACACTCGCTAACACTCCACACTCACTCACTCACACTCGCTCACTCTCGCCCACACTCGCCCACACTCGCTCACACTCGCCCACACTCCACACTCACTCACTAACACTCCACACTCATTCACTCACTCGCCCACACTCGCTAACACTCCACACTCACTCACTCACACTCGCCCACACTCGCCCACACTCCACACTCACTCACTCACACTCGCTAACACTCCACACTCACTCACTCACACTCGCTAACACTCCACACTCACTCACTCACTCACACTCGCTAACACTCCACACTCACTCACTCACACTCGCCCACACTCGCCCACACTCCACACTCACTAACACTCCACACTCACTCACTCACTAACACTCCACACTCACACTCGCCCACACTCGCCCACACTCGCTCCACACTCGCTCACACTCGCCCACACTCGCTCCACACTCACTCACACTCACTCACACACACTCCACACTCATTCACTCACTCACACTCGCTCCACACTCGCCCCCCCAACCCAGTGCCCAGGCGCCCACTCACTGGGGCACAGGAACCCCGGCAGGCCGCCGTGCAGGTGGTCGTCACTGTCCGGCAGGATGAAGGGACAGGCGCCTAGGACTGAGAAGCAGTACAGGCGGCAGGGCCGGGGCGCCGTACAGCCGCTCTGAGACACCGCCAGGAGCTCCGCGCACAGCCAGCGCCGGTACTCGCTCTGCACCACCGCCAACGGCAACCACCAGCACCGCCGCCGAGGGAGGAGAGGGAGGAGAGGAGAGGGAGGAGAGGGAGGGAGAGGGAGGGAGAGGGAGGAGAGGGAGGAGAGGGAGGAGAGGGAGGAGAGAGAGGAGAGAGAGGAGAGGGAGGAGAGGGAGGAGAGGGAGGAGAGGGAGGAGATGGAGGAGAGGGAGGGAGGGAGGGAGGGAGGAGAGGGAGGGAGGGAGGAAGGAGAGGGAGGAGAGGGAGGAGAGGGAGGGAGGAGAGGGAGGAGAGGGAGGGAGGGAGGAGAGGGAGGGAGGAGAGGGAGGGAGGAGAGGGAGGGAGGAGAGGGAGGAGAGGGAGGGAGGAGAGGGAAGGAGGAGAGTTAGGAGAGGGAGGAGAGGGAGGGAGGAGAGGGAGGAGAGGGAGGAGAGGGAGGGAGGAGAGGGAGGAGAGGGAGGAGAGGGAGGAGAGGGAGGAAGGAGAGGGAGGGAGGAGAGGGAGGGAGGAGAGGGAGGGAGGGAGGAGAGGGAGGGAGGAGAGGGAAGGAGGAGAGTAAGGAGAGGGAGGAGAGGGAGGAGAGGGAGGAGAGGGAGGAGATGGAGGAGATGGAGGAGAGGGAGGAAGGAGAGGGAGGGAGGAGAGGGAGGAGAGGGAGGAAGGGAGGGAGGAGAGGGAGGGAGGGAGGAAGGAGAGGGAGGAGAGGGAGGAGAGGGAGGGAGGGAGGAGAGGGAGGGAGGAGAGGGAGGGAGGAGAGGGAGGGAGGGAGGAGAGGGAGGGAGGGAGGAGAGGGAGGAGAGGGAGGGAGGAGAGGGAGGAGAGGGAGGGAGGGAGGAGAGGGAGGGAGAGGGAGGGAGGAGAGGGGGGGAGGAGAGGGAGGGTGAAAGTGTAACCCGGTGAGTGAATGAAGAAGTGAATGAATGAGTAAGTGAATGAGTGAGCCGGTGAGAGAATGAAAGGAATAGAGGGAGGTGGTGGGGGAGGGGAGGTTCAGCAGGGGGCAGGGCACCAGGGTTAGTCAACAATCACGGAGGGCAAGGCCCCAGCTACTGACGACTGCTAGAAAAGGTGAAACCGCAGGGCTGCCCTGTGCTGGAGGGGGTGCAGGGGCACACACACGGGTGGGTGGGTGGGTAGGTGGGTGGGTGGGTGGATGGGTGGCTGGGTGGGTGGGTGGATGGGTGGCTGGGTGAGTGGGTGGATGGGTGGGTGGCTGGGTGGGTGGGTGGCTCGGTGGGTGGGTGGCTGGGTGGGTGGATGAGTGGCTCGGTGGGTGGCTCGGTGGGTGGGTGGCTGGGTGGGTGGGTGGCTGGGTGGGTGGCTGGGTGGGTGGGTGGCTGGGTGGGTGGGTGGATGGGTGGGTGGATGGGTGGCTTGTTGGGTGGCTCGGTGGGTGGCTCGGTGGGTGGGTGGCTCGGTGGGTGATGGCTGGGTGGGTGGCTGGGTGGCTGGGTGAGTGGCTGGGTGGCTGGGTGGGTGGCTGGGTGGGTGGGTGGCTGGGTGGCTGGCTGGGTGGGTGGCTGGGTGGGTGGCTAGGTGGGTGGGTGGGTGGCTGGGTGGGTGGCTGGGTGGGTGGGTGGCGTCACGAGAGACTCGTGTTTGGCGAATACAACAATAAGAGAAGTGAAAGTCACGACCGTGTGAATTTCTCGCAGCCAGCACAGCACGGGTGGGGGGGGGGGGTTCAACTGGGGCCGACGATGAACGCTGCAGATGCGTGGAGGACGCCTCGTCACCCACGAGTCACCCACGAGTCACCCACGAGTCACCCACGCCTCGTCACCCACGAGTCACCCACGAGTCACCCACGCCTCGTCACCCACGAGTCACCCACGCCTCGTCACCCACGAGTCACCCACGAGTCACCCACGAGTCACCCACGAGTCACCCACGCGTCGTCACCCACGCGTCGTCACCCACGAGTCACCCACGAGTCACCCACGTGTCGTCACCCACGAGTCACCCAAGCGCGTCTCCGCTCGCCCACCCAGCGTGTGACGCTGGTCGGCACGTGGTGGGGATGCGGTGTCGCGCCTGCAGAGCCATGCCGGGGGCCCTGACCCGGCCCTGACCCGGCCCTGACCAGGCCCTGACCCGGCCCTGACCTGGCCCTGACCAGGCCCTGACCCGGTCCTGTCAGGGCCCTGATCCGGCCCTGACCTGGCCCTGACCAGGCCCTGACCCGGCCCTGACCTGGCCCTGACCAGGCCCTGACCCGGTCCTGTCAGGGCCCTGACCCGGCCCTGTTAGGGCCCTAACAGGGCCCTGACCCGGCCCTGACAGGGCCCTGACAGGGCCCTGACTAGGCCCTGACCCGGCCCTGACAGGGCCCTGACAAGGCCCTGACCCGGCCCTGTCAGGGCCCTGACTAGGCCCTGACCCGGCCCTGTCAGGGCCCTGACCCGGCCCTGACCCGGCCCCGTCAGGGCCCTGACCAGGCTCTGGGGCGGGTCGGTCGTGCGGCGTAAGAGCGCCACCGGCGTCACGTGACGGGGACTTCGTCCTCCCCCGCGGCCTCCCGCCCCCTCCTCTGGCTGGCTAACGAGGCCCGGGGCGTTAATTCGCGCGGGGTCTCCGCAGGCTCGTGGCGCTCATTTGCGCTCCGACTCCCGCGCCGCTCGCCCACTCGCGTTCAGACTCGCTCCTCGTGCTCAGGCTCGCTCCTCCGGCCCCCCTCGCCCGACTCCGGGGGGGGGGGGGGGGGGCGGACGTCCAATTAACAAGTCTCTCTCTCGTTAGCAGATACACAGCCGCTGGCTGGCTCGTCATAAGTTCCTGAGCTCGGGTTCTGAGACCGGGACTCAGGATCAGAGTCTGGGGTGAGACTCAGGGAGACCGGGACTCAGGGTCAGTGTCTGGGGTGAGACTCAGGGAGACCGGGTCTCAGGGTCAGTCTCCACTGAGGCTCAGGGAGACCGTGTCTCAGGGTTAGGGTCTGTGGTGAGACTCAGGGAGACTGGGTCTCAGGGTCAGAGTCTCCACTGAGACTCAGGGAGACCGGGTCTCAGGATCAGTGTCTGGGGTGAGACTCAGGGAGACCGGGTCTCAGGGTCAGTGTCTGTGGTGAGACTCAGGGAGACCGGGCCTCAGGGTCAGAGTCTCCACTGAGACTCAGAGAGACCGGGTCTCAAGGTCAGAGTCTCCAATGAGACTCAGGGAGACCGGGTCTCAGGGTCAGGGTCTGGGGTGAGACTCAGGGAGACCAGGTCTCAGGGTCAGTGTCTGGGGTGAGACTCAGGGAGACCGGGTCTCAGGGTCAGTGTCTGTGGTGAGACTCAGGGAGACCGGGTCTCAGGGTCAGAGTCCTGGGTAAGACTCACGGAGACTGGGTCTCAGGGTCAGGGTCTGGGGTGAGACTCAGGGAGACCGGGTCTCAGGGTCAGTGTCTGGGGTGAGACTCAGGGAGACCGGGACTCAGGGTCAGTGTCTGGGGTGAGACTCAGGGAGACCGGGTCTCGTGGTCAGGGTCTGGGGTGAGACTCAGGGAGACCGGGTCTCAGGGTCAGTCTCCACTGAGGCTCAGGGAGACCGTGTCTCAGGGTTAGGGTCTGTGGTGAGACCCAGGGAGACCGGGTCTCAGGGTCAGTGTCTGGGGTGAGACTCAGGGAGACCGGGTCTCAGGGTCAGTGTCTGTGGTGAGACTCAGGGAGACCGGACCTCAGGGTCAGAGTCTCCACTGAGACTCAGGGAGACTGGGTCTCAGGGTCAGAGTCTCCAATGAGACTCAGGGAGACCGGGTCTCAAGGTCAGAGTCTCCAATGAGACTCAGGGAGACCGGGTCTCAGGGTCAGTGTCTGTGGTGAGACTCAGGGAGACCGGGCCTCAGGGTCAGAGTCTCCACTGAGACTCAGGGAGACCGGGTCTCAAGGTCAGAGTCTCCAATGAGACTCAGGGAGACCGGGTCTCAGGGTCAGTGTCTGTGGTGAGACTCAGGGAGACCGGGCCTCAGGGTCAGAGTCTCCAATGAGACTCAGGGAGACCGGGTCTCAGGGTCAGAGTCTCCAATGAGACTCAGGGAGACCGGGTCTCAAGGTCAGAGTCTCCAATGAGACTCAGGGAGACCGGGTCTCAGGGTCAGTGTCTGTGGTGAGACTCAGGGAGACCGGGCCTCAGGGTCAGAGTCTCCACTGAGACTCAGGGAGACCGGGTCTCAAGGTCAGAGTCTCCAATGAGACTCAGGGAGACCGGGTCTCAGGGTCAGGGTCTGGGGTGAGACTCAGGGAGACCGGGTCTCAGGGTCAGGGTCTGGGGTGAGACTCAGGGAGACCGGGTCTCAGGGTCAGGGTCTGGGGTGAGTCTCAGGGAGACCGGGACTCAGGGTCAGGGTCTGGGGTGAGTCTCAGGGAGACCGTGTCTCAGGGTCAGGGTCTGGGGTGAGACTCAGGGAGACCGGGTCTCAGGGTCAGGGTCTGGGGTGAGACTCAGGGAGACCGGGACTCAGGATCAGAGTCTGGGGTGAGACTCAGGGAGACCGGGACTCAGGGTCAGTGTCTGGGGTGAGACTCAGGGAGACCGGGTCTCGTGGTCAGGGTCTGGGGTGAGACTCAGGGAGACCGGGTCTCAGGGTCAGTCTCCACTGAGGCTCAGGGAGACCGTGTCTCAGGGTTAGGGTCTGTGGTGAGACTCAGGGAGACCGGGTCTCAGGGTCAGAGTCTCCACTGAGACTCAGGGAGACCGGGTCTCAGGATCAGTGTCTGGGGTGAGACTCAGGGAGACCGGGTCTCAGGGTCAGTGTCTGTGGTGAGACTCAGGGAGACCGGGCCTCAGGGTCAGAGTCTCCACTGAGACTCAGGGAGACCGGGTCTCAAGGTCAGAGTCTCCACTGAGACTCAGGGAGACCGGGTCTCAGGGTCAGGGTCTGGGGTGAGACTCAGGGAGACCGGGTCTCAGGGTCAAAGTCTCCACTGAGACTCAGGGAGACCGGGTCTCAGGGTCAGGGTCTGTCGTGAGACTCAGGGAGACCGGGTCTCAGGGTCAGGGTCTGGGGTGAGACTCAAGGAGACCGGGTCTCAGGGT